CGCCCCCCCCCCCCGCCCCATATCGTTCCTCCGTCCTGGCGTTGTAGGGACGCGAGGTAATGGTCTAACGACTACGGCATGCGTGTACATGAGCATTAGTACACCCCCCCCCCTAAAGAAAGAAACCAAGGATAAGGAGGGTCTAGAAGTGTACGGAATGTTGAAGGAAGGAATAGGGTTCAAGGATTACCTACGTGGACCAATGGATGCAGGAACAAAGCTTAAGGTCAAATTCAGGACCGGGGATACAGGCCTTCGAGAACGTCGACGAAGACATAGGACGGTAGACGAGGAAGACGACGAGTTCAAATGTGATTGCGGCTTCGAATGCGAAGACCGTGTTCATGCAGTCGCGGAATGTCCGTTGTACAAGAANAAAGAGTACGCCCCCCCTCCCCCCCCTCCCACCACCCCCGGCCCCCACTTGTGCTGTTTTTCTGTGCCTTGCCCTGCCTTGCCTTGCCTTGCTTTTTCCCGCCGCCGACCTTGTATTTCGCCTTTTTCTCGTGTGTAGACCCCGGGTGGTTGCTGTCGGCGGCGGTGGAAGCTTGGTGCCTACCGAACGTGCACGGGCCTTGCCGCCTCCCTGGATCGGTTCTGGAGGGGGGGGGCACCGCGGACGCGAACGAGGCGGCGGCGGGGGCGGGAGCGGGGTCGGGCTACCGCCGCCGCCGCCGCCGCGGCGGTCGGCGGCAAGAAGAAGACTACGAGAGCTTGTGCTCGTTGATATCGATGGTGGGGGTCGCTCTTTTCCGTTCTTTTTTTTTTTTTCGGTCTGCGTACTTTCTACGGATCGTTGTCGGTACACTACTGCTGTTTTCGTGTGCACAGGCACGAAGGGGTGTGTGCGAGTGCGCGTGCGTGCGAGTAAGGGTGTATTTGGCCCAAGTATGGATGTGCCCCCAAACGCCTGAATGGTGGTGTTCAGTATCCACACTTGGCGCTCTTTTCCGCTTGGTTGCGTGCTGTGTGTGTGTGTGTGTGTGTGTGTGTGTGTGTGTGTGTGTGTG